GTCGAGTTCGCGTCGTCCCAGTGCGGCAGGCTCGTCGCAAACACAACGCGGCCGGCGCCACCTGCACCGCCACCGAACGCGGCGGCGAAGTCGGCGTGCAGCAGCGCAAACTCGGAGAACGCGACGAGCACGCGCACGCCGTCGTGCGACGCCACGTGCCGCGCCACCGCTGTGACGTCGCCGGCCGCAAGGCCCGCCACGAACACGTCGCCCGCCTCCGGCAGGTGCTCCGCCAGCGCGTCGCCGCCGGCCAGCAGCGTCGCGGACCGCAGCGACCCGCCAAACGTCACCAGCGACCGCCGCAGCACCTCCGCCACCGCCGCCGCCTCCTCGCCGCGGATCACCGCGTGCGCCGCGCGGACACCCGTGTCTCCGAGGTACTCCGCAAGCACGAAGAACTGCTGCTCCAGCGTCGGCGACAGGTGAATCACGTGCCGGCGGAACCTGTTCAGCCGCGGCTCGAGCTGCAGCGGGTCGATGAAGGCCACCCCCTCCACGCCCAGCATCGCCTCCGTCACAACCCCCGCAACCCCATGAACGTGCCGTGATTGCATCTCCGACTGCAGAGCAGCACGGGCGCTGCCAAGAGCGGAGGCAAAAGTAAGCACGTGGATCTGACTTTCATCCCACGAGGTCTTCTGGCTTGCACCTTTCCCCGCAAACCCGCTGTGGAACTCAGCAGAGGCAACTTTTGCAACAGCGCCGTCATTCATTAGAAACTCCACCCCAAGAAACACTGACGGCACTTGAACCTGTGAACCGTGACAACTTGACAAGCTGAACGTCGTGAGGCCTTTATCCACCACCTCCGCTCGGAAGCCCTCCACGAACCGCTTCATGTACACAGTGCCACCGCCCTGGTTGCAGCGGCAGACGACACCCTGTGCTTCAGCCTCATCATTGCAATCCCCACCGTAGTCGCCAAACACAAGGTCGTCGATTACATACCGGCGTTGGTTGAAGATAGACGCCTTAAACGACGTGCGGTTCTTCACACCTCTATAACTTCCTACCGCCTGCACCAGGACCTCGCCGGCAATCCACCCAGAAACCATCAGTTCGCCGTCGTTGTCATTGTTGAGGAAATGATACGTGTCGTTGTAGTCGCTCTGCCCACTGTTCTCCAGGTAATCATGCATCACCGTCTGGAAGCGACGGATGGCGTCGTACCTTTCGTCCTTTGCCAGCGGGTTCGTCCCCGTCGTGATCACCTGCCCGGGCACGAACTTGACACCATCATCGGCCACGGCAGCACGCCATATGCGCAGAACAGTTGGCTGCAACACGAGGGGAGCCAGCAGGTACGCGCCGGCGGTGCGCACGTCCGTCAGCATCTTCTTAATGAATCGCTCAGTGAGCGCTACTGGCCAGCCAAACACAATCACCGCCTGCGGCCGGGTGGCGGCAAACCGCTTCCACACAACCTCGAACTCTGTAGGGTCGACAGTACCACTGGAAGAGTTCACGGTGAAGACGCCGCAGAACTCGTAGCCCATCGCCGACATCACACGTTTTGCCTGCTCATACTCCTCTTCACCAAGAAGGACGCCCTGCAGGTACATGAAGCCCAGCCGAAGCACCCGCAGCTGAGCCACGGCGTAGCGGAGAAGCGTCAGCAGCTCGGCCGCAGGGCTGGCGCGCACAAAGTACAGGTTGGAATCCCACCCACGCACCGCACTCGACCCAGTGAAAGGGGCAAAAGAAACGAGGCCATTGTCATCCAAAATAGAACGCACCTCCATCACAGAGGCGTCACCGAACTGGGCCAGAAGAGTGAGAATGTCCTTTTGTTGAAGAATGTAAACCAAAACGACGGCTTTGTAGTAATCCCACGTCGTTTCCTTTTCGACAAGTT